CCAGGGAACACAAGAGGGCGCGCGTGAGCTTCTGCTTTCAGAAAAATTGGGCAGAACGTGACTGGGGACCAAGATTCAAGGGAAGCACACACAAAAAGAACATCTGAAGAACAGGACAGAGGGTGCAGGGTAGAAGGCAGAATGACCATTTAGTAAGGGGACTTTTATGTAAAGCCCAAGAGGCAATCCCTCTGCCCTTAGCAATCTGCCAGCCAGGTGTCCTATAAAGATGACACGAGTTAGAATGCAGGCACCCTAACATGGGAATCAGGTATTATACTGTTCCCCACTAACGTGCAAGACAAGTATTATCGCCACAAACAAGAAGGCTAAAGCTCAAAAACGAAATGCTTTCCTGACGTCAAATTGCTATTGTGTTAAGGCCAAGTTTAACCCTTGTGTTTAAACTGGAATTTGGGGTTTACTCCAAAACTTGAGAGGTTCGTCACTGGCAAATGTTCCCTAGATCTATCTATTTTCTTCTTACTGTGCTATATACAGAGACTCAAGAGATGCAAGTGGCAAGTAGGTGCCATACAGGGCTTAAGGATAGTTTCTCAATTCTAAAACTCAACTGGTTGTAAAAGTATCTCATCAATTTAATGACATTCCAAAAAAGGAGGTAAAACTACACAGGTGTCAAAATATGATTGAAATAGTTAAGAGAAAATGGGGTGGTGAAAAGATGGAAATATAACTTAGGACGGAAAGGACCAGAGACTAATGTTTGGTCATTTTATAAAAACTGAGACTTGGCCCTATAAACGTCTTACATTAACAGTAAATAGAGCAGAGACTGGAATAGAGGTATTGATTCTTATGCCCATGTCCTTCAACTACCCCCTCAAATCATAGTCAAAATTCTATATACAGCCCTAGAGGACTGCATGGTGTTCAAGTGTCTCAGATACACACTCACTAGCCCCAACTCAAGTGGCCTGAGGCCAGAAACAGTTAAGAAACCAAACTGGTTTTTTCGTGGTCTTTCCATGATTTGACACCATGCAAGGAAAATGGTGAAGCAAAACCTAATTTAGAGGATCAATAACTGTGGACACCAGTGAGTTTTTTGTCTTTCTGTGAGAATACTTTAGAAATAATGAAGGTTAATACTAGGACACAAATGGTTTCTGCTTTCATTACCAATTAACTACACAAATGATAATATATCTTCTCTAACTTACTGACTCTGAACAAGAGAATCAAAAAACAAAAAGTCTAAAAAGGGGGGGAAAAAAAACTATCACTAGAAGTTAACATGGATTTACAAAAATAAACCGGGTGAGTCTTTACTGTACAGATGGATTCTCTCTATAGCACGCCTTTAAAATAGTCAAACCCTGTAATGCACTTAAAATAAGACATGCATGACTAAAAATTGGGAACATGTCTTTTGAGTAAGACAAGATGTTTTTAAGTGAAAAGTGCCTTCATTGACTAGGACAAAGTGAAATTCAGATCATACTAACAGATAAATACAGGGTTAGATACTGATCAGGCAGGATCTGTGCTCTCAGTTGACACTTCTGATCTTCTAGGAAACATCAAATTATGGGGGATGGGAAGAAATTATAGGAAGAACTAAAGTAAAAATGTATTTGTAAAGTTTTTGGGTGGCTTTGTTTTGGAGAGGGGATTCAGAATTGGAAGAAAGAATTCAAAAGACGCTGTTAAAGTTTTCCCCAATTAAGTTTCTTACTTCCCAACTAGGAATCTTTCTTTGTACAACATTCCATCGAACTCCACCACTAAAACTGTAGAGTTTTAATTCACATTTCAAACGAAAGAGCCTCAAACACAAAGTAAATGCGTTAAGGTTTCAGAGCTGACAGTCTACTCAAGAAATAAATTATTCTCCAAATCATTTGCATTTTATCCATAAGCTAAAGATAAGTTTTATCTTGCAATCATTTTGATTTGTGCATCTTTTAGCAATCAAAATAACTTCCACACCGTGACATGGCAGTAGAATAAGTTTTTTTTTTTAAGTAACTAAAAATCAGGCTGAAAAATTAGCTACACCTTCCCCATAAAACCAATCTCTACTGTACAGAGCTAGCTCTACTTAAGATACAATCACCCCATGCAGAAACACAATGGATCTCTATGCATTTACTTTATACCATGTAACTAACAGTGTGACCTAAGGGAGGAAAGTCACATGGTCCCTTGCTTTTAAAAGTCTGTGGAAGGCTTGGGTGGAGGGGACTGCCTGTAATCCCAGCTCAGGAGGCTGAGCCAGGAGGATCACAAATTTGAGGCCAGTCTCAGCAACTTAGACCCTGTTTCAAAATAAAAAGGGCTGGGGAAGGAGCTCAGTGGTAGAGCACCTGGGTACTGGAGGGTGGGGATGGGACAGTCTGTGGAAGCCTATTAGAGTGTTCCAGGACTGACAAGAGTCCTAACTCCAGCACACAAAGGAGAAGGATTCTGCTGAACAGAGAGCAAGTAAAGTTCATATAATAGTACACAAAAGCACAAAATAATGGAATCACAGTGATTTATCTGAAAGGATTTGCTCTGTAAGCCATGGGAAGGCATTCCTGGGGACAGGGAGATGCTTAGATACCACATGTACAAATCTGTCACACAACCCAGCCACATACTCAGGCCCTATAAATCCACAAATTGGTACTCATGTAAAGGAGTATCAGATTCAAGCCTAGATTTATAGGACACAAGGGAAAAACTTACAAACCAACATCCCCCAGCCACAAACTCCTTCTGCATCACAATACACACACCTAGGACACATCCTTTCCAAAGAACCCCCCCCCCCAAAACAAGCTATTCTGCTATGCCATCCCCCCACCCCCCCACCCTGAGTATGGTCCACTGGTGCTAGGAGCACAGAGAGTTCAGAGCAGAGCAGTCCAGCATGTCCAAGAGGCACAGGAAAATACAGGCAAGAGTGCACTTGGGAGAGAGGAGAAAGGGCCCTTGGAAATGATTTTGAAAGAGTTTGGTTTCAAAGATTATGAGCAAAGAATGGAGCAGGACTCCTCCCCTCTTGAAGTCTCTAATATTCCTTTCACTCTCTAAGTTGCTTTAGAAAAATAACAATGTTTAAACAGAGATGCAAATGTATATACACATATATATGTATACATTTTGTTGCTGGTTTGAGACAGGGTCTAGATAAATTGCCTAGGCTGGCCTCACACTGGTGATCCTCCCATTTCAGTTTCCCGAGTAGCTGGAATTACAGGTATGAGCCACCACCTGCCAATAACAATGTTTTAAAATAACATTCAAATGCACCCAGTTTGAAAAAACCAAATACAAATTATTAAACTTGGCAACCTGGAGATTAACAAATTATTACATTCATCAAGTGTCTACTAAGCATCTACTCTGAGCCTGTTTCTGAGCAGAGGAGACAACTCACACAACAAGCTCACAGGAGTGCTGAGGATATAGGCAAATAAACAAGTCACTATAATACAATGTAACAACTGCTCAGGGAGCACAGAGGAAGCACAACTTCTCCCAGGTGGGTCAGCCTCTGAATGTGTGTGTTTGAAAAAAGGAGCCACCAGCGGCAATATTCTCTGGGAGCTTTTCTGAAGGGTGGGCGTACACTGATGGGACAGGCAGGCGCACAGGAATGTCTGGCAGGACATGGCCAAAAGGTTATCAGGAGCGGGAAACTAGTGTCCCTGGAGCTTGGGAGAGGGAGCAGAAAGTAGAATGTGGAGAGATTAGAACCCAAAAGTGGGCTGGAGTTCCCACACTGCGAGATTAATGCTTCTGTGGACTTTCACCTTAGAATCCAGGGAGCTCCAGCAGGGGCGGGCCACACCTTGGGCTACCCGGGAGGTGCGCGTCCAGCAGGCGACTCTGCCAGCGTGCACTCGGACACGCTCAAGCCGTCCGCGAGGCTCCGGGCGAAACGACCTCCTCCTCCCTTTTGAAATGATCTACGTTTCTACTACTAATTACCAAAAATCACAGGCGTGCTCTCAATAAGTACCAAAGGCTGAAAGGGGGAAAGTCACAGCCGGCAATTTCGGCGAGGATGCCGCCCAGCCGGCCCCACAGGCCAGGCTGACGTCGAAGGGGTCCAGGTGAAGAGAATCCCAGCCCATCAAACCAGCGCGTCCGCCCGCGGCGCCACACAACTTCTCCTTCGGCGAGAAGGCGACTTCCGAGGGCGCGCCCCCGTCCCCGTCCCGCCGCTGCGAGGTGGCGGCCCCGGCGCACCGGGTCCCGCAGAGAGGTCGCGGCGTACGCTGGAGCCCGCTCGGTCGCGCCGCCCGGGCGGGGGCCCGGCGCATCCTCGGCGCGGGCCGGGGCCGGGGCCGCACAAAGGGGAGGGCGCGGCGCGGGGACGCCGGCCCGGACGCAGGACGCGCTCCGAGGACACTCGAGCGCGGCTCGAGCCAAAACAAAAACAACCGAAAGTTGAGCGCGGCCGGGGAGCAGATTGGGCGAGCCCGATCACGGCCGCCCATTGGCGAAGAGGGAAGGCAGAGTCCCCCAATCGCGAGCGGCGGGCTGCCCCCCTCGCGCGGCCGCGGCCCGGCCCGACGCGGCCCGGCGGCCGCTACCGCTCCCTTCCGGCCGCGGCCACCACTGCAGGCCGCCCGCCGCCCGCCCCGCCCGCGGCCGCCCCGGCCCGGCGTCCCGGAGCCCGCTCGGCCGCCGCGGCCCCGCACGCCCCCGCCCGGCCGCCCGCCCCGCTCACCGCCGGCCGGCCCGCCTCCTGCTCGGGCGCGTCGAGGCCCCTCTGCCGGCCGCCGCGACGCGGGCTCGCGCTGCCCGGTCGCCCTCGCCCGTCCCCTCAAAAAATTAATCACCAAAAAATAATTCCAGAGAAAAATGGAGAGTAAAATCCAAGATGGCGGCGCGGACGCAGCACCGCCCGCTCCCTCCGCTGAGGGAAAAAGGAGTCCCGCGGCCGAGCCCCCGCCCCCACCCGGCGGCCGCCGCCGCCGCCGCCGAGCCGGCCCCGGCCCTCCGCCCCCGCCCCCGGCCCCGGCCCGCCGCTCCAGCCTCACCTCAGCCTCACGCGCGGCCGCCGGCTCCGAAAAGCATCCGCCGGCTTCGGGGTTCCGCGTTCTCGCGCCGCGCGGTGCCGCCTCCAGCGACGGGGCGTCCTCACCTCATAGCCCCGGAGCCGCGCCGCAGCCGCGCCGCCGCCCCCGGTGAGCCACCCGGACACCGCCCGGGCCCGGTGGAAGGACACAAAAAGGAGTTCGCGGCGACGGCGGAGGGACACCACGCCAGCTGCGGCCCCTCGAGCGTGCGCGTCCCTGTCCGACGCGGAATCCTTGCCACGGGCCCTTAGGGGGAGGCGGAGGGCGCCCGAGGGAAACGAGTTCCTCGCCGGCAGCTCCCGGCGGCGGAGGCACCGGAGAGATTTCCGAGCGAACGGGCCGCGTCGTTGCCGTCATGCGCCTCGCGGCGGAGGAATCGGGCCGAGCGTGGCGCACGGGAATCCCTCCGCCCGCTGCCCTTTAAATCGCGGCGGAGGCGGCGTCGCTGCGCGCCCGCGGGCGCCACCTAGCTCGCGAGCGCCCGGCCCGAGCCGCCCCGCGGGGCCCCTCGCCCGCCCCTGGCCCTCGCGCACCTGCACCTACCAGGGACAGCTCCCGAGCCGGGACTGAGGGGCAGCCCGGAGGCCGGGGACGCTCCTCGCCGCTGCGCCGCCTGGGTGCGCTGAGGGGAGGCGGCCCCGGGATGGCGAGTTTCTTTGTTGTGGGGATGGGTGTCGCTGGGAGCAGATACACCCTTAAAGACCATGTGGGCAGCCGGAGCATTACAACACGGGAGGAGGGAGGGAGCGGGCATTGGTCGGGCCGTTCGGCGCTGTCAGCCGGCCGTTTCTTGAGCACCTACTGGGTGCCAGCCTTTTCGCGACTCCATGGCATTTCCACCCCTTTCCCTTCTGGGAGTCGATGAGCACCAGAAGGGCGTTGGGGTCCTGCAGGAGCTCAGGCGGTGCCCAAGATGTGTCTAGCGCCTGCACCGGGGTACAGCGAAGCCCCGCCTCTTGGATTTTGCAGTCAGATAATAAAGGGTACAAAATAACAATAACGAGGGTAGCGAGTATTCGGACCTCACGGGCGCGGTTCCCCAGGCTCCGATGCACGATCTCGTTTGTCTCCTTAGAACCACCGCAGGGGTGGGGCGTGTTGTCCTTCCCAGTTTACACATAGGGAAATCGAGGCACTGAGTGGTTAGGTGGCCTCAGGACAACTAGTCAGGGCTTGAGCGGGAGATCTTGATGAAAAATATGCAAACATCAAATAAATTCGAGAGCGTGCGTTAAGGGCCAGAAGTTGAAGTTGCCAGAGGCATGCGGACTGGAGACCTGAAGGGTGGATTGGAGTGTGTTAGGGAAAGCGCCCGTAAGGAGATGTGTGACCCACGGGCTAGATGAGCACAAAGAGCGGCAGGGAAAAGGGCTGCAGTTCCCGCCCTAAGGAGGAGGAGGATGGGGTGGGTGGCTGAGACAGTTCCAGGAAGAACCCCAGCCTGCCATGGTTTCCCTGCACGCCCCTCCCCCAAGCCCTGGGGCCTGGCACAGTGGGCACTCTGTAAAGGACCAGTCAATGGAGTGTCTCGGTGGCCTCCACAAGGCAGCCCTGCAGTCCAGCTGGATTAACCCCGGTTTCCCTCCTCCTTGATCTTGGGTGGCAGACGTGATGCTTGTTACCCCATCCACATATGGGAAACTGTGGCACAGTGACCTGCTAAAGGCACAGGCTAACAGGAGAAGCCAGGCCTAGATTATGTTCCTCCCTCAGCCATGGGGTAGGGTAGGGGCAGAGCCTGCCCTGCCTCAGGCCTGTGGCAGTGTGCTTCCTGCTCTTCCACCCTAAAAGCTGTTGGTCACTGTGGCACTGGAGTCCGTCTTGCCATGTGCCTCTCTGCACACACAGATGATAAATGATTGCATTGGTCTTAATAGTTTCTGGATTATCATTAAACTTTCCAAGACTTTCATAGAACTTGGCTCCACATACTCAGCTGGTATCCTAGAGACAATGAGGCTGTCCCTGCCACCGCCTCCACTGCCTGGCAGGTGGAGTGCACATGAGAGATACCACCTGCCTCCACTGGGTGCTGGTGGTCCTTTGTCTACCTGCCAGTGTCTTGGCCCCACGTCCAACCACACCTTTGCAGCCTTATCAAGCCTGTCCAAGTTTTCCAGGGCCCACCCCAACACAGCAGTGCACACACCCTTCAGACTGACCCAAACCACCAGCTCTGTAAAGCCCCCAGACTCACTGGCACCTCAGCTGAATACCTGATGAGTCCAGGCCAAGCATTGCTTTGCAAGAGAGCAGGTTGGGCCACCCTGCAGATGACCCACCCAGCACAACCTCCTCATCCTGCAGTTCTGGGCCATCCCTCCTCCAGCCCCTCCATTGCCAGTTGCTCTTTCAGCCTCCGCTGAGTCCCTGAGAGCTGGGAGTCTTGGCTGAGCTGAACTGGCCTCAAGATATTGGTGGAGCCATGTTAAAGCCTTGGGCCCTTTGAGGGTCCTAACCAGGGAGGCCAGGGTTGAGCTGGGCAGAGGGCACAGCCAGGAGCTGCCCTCCTGGGAGAGACTGGAGATTGGATTTCTCAGTAGTGCCAGAGGCCAGCTGGAGCCTCCTCCTGCCAGCTGGCAGGGGAGGAAGGGGGACAGGAAATAGGTGGCTAGGCACCTGCCCAGGCCCTACATGACAGGAGTCATTGGCATCTACACTGTGGAGTCTCTGGATGCCCACAGTGGGAGAGTGGAGCCCCAGAGGCGGGGCCCCCACCCAGCCTGGCCAGACTGACAGGGATTAACAACTCTAAAGAAAGACAGAGTTGACGGAAGGGGCACAGCCAGCTCCGGAAGCACCCTGAGGCTGACCAGGAGTGACAGCCCAGCCAGGGGCTGGCCCCAGAACAGTGCCCTTCCCAGGGCAGTGGCTGTGACCACAAAGCCAATTCCAGTCTCCTTTGCTGGGTCAGACCCTGTGTGCTCAGGGGCACTTCAGCCACCTAGCCAGGTGCCACCACCCTGCCCCCTCTCCAATTTCCCTTCTCCAAACACCAGGTTCACTCAGTGCCCAGCTGGCAGAGGTTTGCTTTCTGGGATCTTGTGCTCACTGGGAGTGCCGGCTGGTCATGCTGACCCTGGAATTCCAGGCTCTGGGTAGGTTGCTTCTCATTGAAAATGATATTTTCCCCCAGGCCTCCCTTGCCCTGTGCCCCAAGACTGCTCTGCTCAGAGCAGGTGTCGGAAGCTGGTGGGGAAAGGTGGGTATACCTGGACATTCTGGTGACCCTTGAATGGCTTGCTGGCTTCCTGGCCACTTGCTTAAGTTCCACTAGCCCCCTGGCCCATCCCTGCCTTCGACCTGCTCATCAACCGCCACTCTCCTTTGACAGATGAGGAAAGGAAACAGCCTCTGTAAGGTGGAGTGACGTGTCTGGGCCCACCCCTGCCTCACTCCACAGCAGCACGAGTCTGACTTAGATTTGAGTCCTAGCTCAACAACTTACCCGCAATGTAAATGGGCCAATGATAGCACCTATCTATTCATTCCCTTTTCTGTGAAAAGGCACCAATCAGTCCTAGAACCTGTCTAAACAATCTCATCTGTTTATGAGGCTTGGGTAGCTTGGTGTGTGCATTGCCACACCTGGCATCCCCAGCACGGCAAAGATAAGTAAATAAAGAAATCAGTAAATCATTTATATACTTACAGTGTCCAAATTTGTCTCCAGCCTGACTTCTCCAAATTTCTGATACCACCACGTCGATGTTTAAAAGGCCTTTCAAATACAGCATCTTGAAAATTGAACACAGCAACAACCAATAGCAACTCACTCCTGCAAAGCATCGCCCTTCGGATGGACATTCTTCCCACCGCCCAGGTGCAGTGCCACTTCCCCTCCTCAGTGGCCTTCAGGGTTTTCTCTCCTCAGCGCATATCGCTACCCTGTGTCTTTAACTTATTCATGCTGCCTGTGGTGTGTCTGTCTTTTCTAGCTTGGGCTTCTCCAGGGACGGGACTTAGTATCTGTCTTGTTCAAGGCTGTCTCTCCAGCTTCCAGAACAGCCCCTGGGCACTGGTGTAGAGGCCCAATTCATTCATATTCATGTAAAAGACAGGAAGGGGAGGATGGCGTGGGGGAGGGGCAGGCCAGCCTTCCAGCTTGCTTCAAGGATAAAAGGAGGCATCAGGGGCTCGCTGACCCCTCTCCCAGGTCCCAGGGCTCAAGCTTGTTCAGTTGACTAGGCTTTTCCACCTCCCACCTCCAAGGTGTGTAGTTTTCAATTTGCAGGTGCCTCAGGACTTGTGTGCTGGGTGTCCACCTGGGACCATCAGACAGGTACCAGGTTAAGCCCATGTCACTGAGGGACATTCATGTTAGGGGCTCCCACCACACACCCACTTTGATCCCCCGACCCTGAAATTAAACCCAGCCTAACCAGTTCTTTTCAAACATCTAGAAATAATACACAGTGGACTGTCTTCACTCATTTTCTGTTGCTATAACAAAGCATCTGAGGCCGGGTAATTCCTCAAGAATAGAAGTTTACGCTCGAAAGTCCCTGACCATGGTGCCCACATCTCATCTCATAGGATCACCACACGGCAGGTAAAGCCACTCGCTGGTTCCCTGGTAGGGTCCCCACCCTCATGACCTCACCCAATCCTAATGACCTTCCAAGGGCCTGCTTCCAAATTTCATTAACACATGATTTGGGGGATTGGGTTTCCAGCACATGAACTTGGGGGACACAGTCAAACCCTATCGAAGGCCACCAGAGCTTCAAGAGGAGAAGGTGGAGCTTAATCTTGTTATTTTAAAAAATTTTTGGTACTAAGGATTGAACCCGGGGCGCTTAACCCCTGAGCCACATCCCCAGCCCTTTTTATTTTTGAGACAGAGTCTTGCTAAATTGCTTAGGGCCTCACTAATTTGCTGAGGCTTTCTTTGAACTTGCAATCCTCCTGACTCAGCCTCCTGAGCTGCTGGGATTACAGGCATGTACCACAACATCCAGCAACAAAAAACAGTTCTAATCAGGCACAGTGGCTCATGCCTATAAATCCCAGCAGCTCGGGAGGCTGAGGCAGGAGGATCATGAGTTCAAAGAAAGCCTCAGCAAATTAGCAAGCCCCACCCATGCCCGCCAAATTAGCAAGGTCCTAAGCAACTCAGTGAGACCCTGTCTCTAAATAAAATATTTAAAAGGGCTGGGGGTGTGGCTCTGTGCTCAAGTGCCAGTGGGTTCAATCCCTGGTACCAAAAAACAAAACTACAACAACAACAAAAAACACCAAAAATTTTCTGGGCTGGGGTTGTGGCTCAGCGGTAGGGCTCTCGCCTAGCACATGCGAGGCCCCGGGTTTGATCCTCAGCACCACATAAAAATAAATACATAAAGTAAAGATATTGTGTCTATCTACAAG